CTTTCATCGAAACTGCCATGATTTAGTGAAGCATGATAAAGGCCCTTCACAAGACCTTGCAGTATTAGCTCAACATTAAATTTCAGGTACAATTCTCACTCAACAACAGATCAGAGAGTAAACATTTTAACATTGTAAACATTTTAACAAAATTTCAGTTATTTAAAACGAATATAAATATGAAAAATAAAAAATCAAAAATGGACAACCATATATTGAAAGCATGGTATCTGAACTCACTGTCTCCAGACTGAAGCCCAATAAGCAAGTCATGCCCATACTTCGCTTCAGAATCAAATGAATGGCGCAGAGGATTCGAGCTTGCTGAAATGAATGGGCCTTGATCGGATCCTAAAAAAACTCATCAAGTAGAAGATAGTATCACAGAGAATCTAGCAAACAAAGTGAATAAATTAAATTGAGAATTGAGATCACTGATGAATAACGTGTCACCAGCATTAAAGATTAAGTAAGCCACTTTGCCATCATAATTGAAAGCTACAGGAGAACTGCTCGATCCTGCTCCGAACTTGCTAGTGCCAGATGCTACCTTGCTCCCACCGTTTGTGCCACCATAAGAGAATGTCTTGCTCCCATTAACACCAACAAAAAGCCGTGCCGCTGCCCATTTCACTACGCTGCTGGAGCTCGGTGTTGAAGGCGTGCTTGGCCCCTGGGAAGCTGACTTCTCCTTGAGATATGCGATGATCAACTATAAAAAACCAAATTCGAAATCAGAACCTTCAAGATTACTAATAAGAGCACATAATCATAGCCCTGATCCCACCTGAGACACAGATTTTTCATGAGAGTAATGAAGAAGGCCGGCAGGGTGAGTTTTCTCGTACTGAAGCTTGTATCTGCCCTCGGGAGACTTGAAGGCACTCTTGAGCGCCCGGCCAGTGAACATCTCAATCACTGTGCAGCCCAGCGACCAAACATCGACGGACATCCCCTGCTCCTCCCCCCTCGCGGCCTCCGACGTACCTCCGGCACATTCCGCGAAACCATCGCGCGTGAGGCTGGTTCGCATTATTTCGCCAGAGAATTTCTAACCCGCTCAATTTCGAAAAAAAGGACCAAGGTGTGCCTTACATTATACAACAATGACCACGG